TTGCCAGGAATCGAAGTAGTTTGCCGGCAAACTGACCAGCCACTGGTGACTTGCATGACCAACAGCTACTGGAAAGTAGTTAGACATGACGTGCTCGTCAGCCATGGTTGATCTGCACGCGGTTTCGTAGAGCATGACCCATAATTCGGGGTTCTCCTTGCCGTCATACTTCTGAAGTTTTTCGAGCTTGAAGTTCTTGGGCCATATGACTTGGTGAAGGTGCGGAGTAAACTGCTTCAAACCCGGCGGGCCGTGGGCAGTATCATATTCCATACGGCGATAGCTTTCGTGGGATGCACGATCGTTGGCTCTCTGGTTGACGCAATCACGTAGATCACGTCCTCCAAGGTAGTGGCGGAGATCGTTATTGCCATCGCGGCGATCTCGGTTGCCATCCAGATTAGCCCTGCGACCGTGGTTGTCTCGGCGGTTGTCGTCTCGGACGTTGCGGCGATTGTCCTGTCGACGGCGGTTGTCATCTCGACCGCCATCATGGCCACCGTTTCCGCCTTGACGGTTATCTGATGGGTCGTTGTTGCGCGAGCCATGTAGGTTGGGTGGCTGTGAGCGGCTTGAGTACTGGCGGCTGTGGCTTGACTCGACTGAGACGGAGGGAGCCCGGGCTTGATTTACAATCTCTACGGTCTGAGCCATAGTAGCCGTTAGATAGGCTTGTATTTCATCGTGAACTGCCTGAGTTTCCGGGGTATTGGGTAGCCGTTGCATTGTCGCCATAGCGACGGCTACGTTGGCGCTTGGGGTCCTGAAGACCTGTTTGTCCCCCACCCTATCGAAAGCATTGTTGAGGTCGCGTGGCTGGACCCTTATGCGTCGTGCCTCCTCTTCTGCTTCAGCTTCGATTTGTCGGCGATTAAACCGGTCAATATTATGTGCTTCGCGTGCAATCCTTTCCTGTTCTATTTCACCGACTGCTGGTGGTTCATCATTACTGACAACATTGATCAAATCCCCTCGTCTTGGTGGGAAGGACGGGAATTGTGGGAACCCTGGGGCGTGGTCTGGGATATCCAGATCGTATTAGACGCCTTCATCATCGTGACGCTGGAGCTCAGTGTGGTCGGAGGCATTGGATGCGATGCCAGACGAGGAGCTGGAGTCACCCTCTTGGACTATGTGGACGGATCCTTCTTGATAATCCTCAATCCGGACCATGTTGACGAAATTTCGCGGCTTCGACTGAGGTCGACACAGATCCAAGCGGCGTTGTATATTACACGCATAGTTGGAGGCAGCGTTTCGCAGGCCGTAGGGCTGGGCCTGGTAGTTCTCCGTCAAGGCTTCGTACTCGGAGAGCTGGAGACCCATCATGGAGGCTGGCCGGTGATGAGCGGAGCGCCCTTCAGGAGTAGATATGACCACGAGATCTGTACCAAGTCGTGCAGGACGACTGGCCCGAGCCGGTCGGGTAGATCTATTGTGGGAAGCGGTTACCTGCTCGTTAGGTCCACTTTGAATTGAACTTACCAGAGCTAGGGTTTCAGCGAGCTTGGTGCCGACCCGATCGATGGAGTCGAGCAGGTCGGTGTTGTCGATCTGCCTCCCTTTGTAGCGGGGAAGCGAACGACGAATTGTCGGCGTGGCTGAAAGCGATGCGGGCGTGGTCGGAGCCAGATCCACCATGGTCGGAGCCGTATCCACCGTGGTCGGAGCCGTAGCCGATGCAGGTGAAGCAGCGGTCGACGCAGATTGAATCCGCGCCTCCTCCGTGATCGTGGCGATGAAGTCGTCGGAGCCGGTGGTCCAGGTGATCTGACCAATGGTGAACGTGAGGCCGTTCGGCGTAGCCATGAAGCCGGGATGATGACCATCTTGTTCGCTGGAGAGCAAAGAGACGCACACCCCTACCCGGCGCGTCATTGTCGATTTTTAAATATGGTCGGCGATCTACCTGTGGGTATGCCCAAGGTAGTAGATTGTCGGCGATGATGCGCTAGCCACAAACAAGATGGTGACGCAAGACACACGAGGTTTTATCCAGGTTTGGCCGCAGAGAAGGCGTAATACCTACCCCCTGCGCCCGATTGTATTCTTTGTATGTCAATGAGAGATATTTTTAGAGGGGTCCCCTGCCCGCCTTATATAGTCCGAGGGGCAGGGTTACGGATCTGGAAACTAATCCTAGTCAGTTACAATTGCCATAGGTGACCAGATAAGGATTCCTATTCTAACCGATCGAGATCTTGCTTGATCACCAAATCTGTCTTGACTCCTTGCGCGGGACTCCGAACAGGTTGGCCGGGCCGCGCGTCGTCTTTTGGTGGACCGGACCCACTGACCCGGGCCAGCCCAATCTTAGCCGTAAGGGTATAGGGGTTAATACCTCCACAATCTGAGACACTTGAAACATACGCTTGCAACATGCGTTTTCAGCGTAACATCTCCTTGCTACTTGGAAGAATGGAGTCTCGTCGGCGTGTGGAGGTCACTGGAGGAAGCGGCACTGGTTGCGCGATGCAGCAGGGAGGCAGCAGCCGCGCGCACGACTAGGAGAGGGCAACCGCGCGCCGCGCCTGACAGGGCTAGCGGCCGAGCTCTGCGCCTCGCAGGTGCAAGCGGAGGCAGCAACACAAAGACAAAGTGGCGCAGCGAGCGACTCCTTGCAGCTGAGAACGAGCGAGTGAATCGGTGTACGGACCTATGTGGAGAAGCTCAAGCGGTAAGCGCACATTTTGATCTGATGACGAGTTAACAAGTCCGATGAAAAGCACCGTCCCGATGCCCTATCCTAATCATTTCCGTAAAGTTTGTGATACATTGCTGTTGCTATTTACTATTCACAAATCACAATACACTAGTGGCCCTCATATAATGCGGGCATCTAGTATTTTTTCACGGAAACATTTAGTGTTTTACTTAAATTAAAAATAGTTTTTAATCAGTTATTTGTTTGTTGAACCATGTGGGGAATTTTATCCTCCCCTCATAGTTATCCTCTCTCAGTATGTTCTCACTATATCCATCCTCACAAACTTCATATAGATCATATTGTTGACTAAATTCTTAGCTCAAAGCCATTGCAATTTTCTCTCATCTATTTTTTTTCACTCGTTTCTCGTAGAACTGCATATTTTTTGTTAAGGCCTCATAGTAAGCTCCACTTCTTAGTAAAACCAGTGTCCGAACAGCACCTTTTTTGTGGATCAGCGGATACTTTTTTTTGGCTTAAAACATTGTTGGATTTATTACAATGCTGCCCATACCAATTGGAATATTATTGCTTTTGCTAGCCAGCCCTGTCATCCTACTAAATCCATTGGCGCCTCAAGCTTTTCCAAATAAATTATGGAACCATCACCGGCGCTAGTAAGTTTTTTTTTATCTTATCCATGCCACCCTACCACGCTATTGTTAGTCAGGCTGTGACCAAATTTGTTTCAGCCTGTGATCATCTTCTTACAAAGAAAAATTTTGGGCGATGTATGTCACGCTGCTCGTGAGCTTTCCACGACAACTCTACTCATAAGTCACATCGATGGGACCAATTACCCATAAGATATCAAAAGCTGATATTCTTTGGTATGTTCTTTTTTAAGCATTTTCCCTTCATTAACATCAACAATGGTGACAAAACTATTCACCTACAAACATATCATTCGCCGAGGGCATCATTTGGAGTTATAACTGTTGAGCCAACTTTCCAGCTCACCAGTGATGGAACTTGGACATGCTTACTAGTGTGCACTATATGATCTACCGTGGACCTAACTGGTCAATATATATCATCTGGTGAGGAATATTCTGGAATCTTCATCCGTGGTCATTGCATAAATAGGAACATGGCCATCGGACGACCTGATGGTCTTTTGTGAGGCACGACGAATCATCCGGCGTTGTATTTCTTAGCAGCCTTTTCCATCTACTAGGATATCATCCTTGGGCTATATGTGTGTTCATCGACTCATTTTGGGCTCTCTCTTCGACCCCGGGCAATATGCATATATAGAGAAACTTGGTAAAAGGTTTAGTTTAAGTCAAGAGGAGCATCTTGTGCTCTTAGCTTGGATTCGTGATCATGTGAAGATTAAAGACCTATTACTCTTGGAGTTCGCTAGCTCCTAGATGGCTCAGTGAAGGACTTGGTGACCCTTTGTCGGTAATGCAGGAAAATTGCTTTTGTGCAAAACATGACCTTGTGTTGGTATTTTGTGGAGATGCAATAATATGTCATCAGTTGTAAGCATCAAAACGGTTAGATGCAGTTAGAGTTATGTCATCAGTTGTTAGCATCAACACTATTAGATGCAGGTACTTATCAAGGCTGCTTTGTATAATACTTGCATTCAATAGTTATATGTCATTAGTTAGAGTTATGTCATCAATATTATATCATCAGTTATATGTCATCGCTGTTATATGCATTCAGCACTAGGCAACACAATTGCATTCAACAAATACTTGCATTGCATTCAATATGATATACAACATCAGTTCATTCCATTAACCCCTCATTACACCATATGCATTCAGCAGTAGGCCACAAATACCAGCAAAGATTATGAATTTCATGACCAATACAACTTCTTTCACAACTCCTACTAAATCCCCAATCTGATTAGCCAAATCATCTTCCTTGGACCTTCTCTGTCTATTGTCTTCTTGCTCCTTCAACTGTTGTCGTTCTTCCTTGCTTGCAAGCTCCAACTGTTGCTCTTTCTTCTTTGCACGATCCTTCAAAAGCTTCTCGAAGTCCTCCCAAAACTTGCAACCAGATCCATCCCGCTGCAAGAACGGGATTCACTCAAAAGCGAGCAAAAATCACCAAAATTTTGACAATCTGAACAACCAAATCCAAATCAATTACATTGCGACCTGGGCACTTATAAACTATGCGGCATTGATTCCCATTCTCATCAGTTTTGGTCTCCAACTCTAGAACTGTGTGAAGCCCGCACTTATTGCACGTGATTAGGCCTAGGTACGGTCTCTTCCTTCGGCGAAAATGAGATGATGTGGAGCTCGAATGTTGAGAAGAGGTAGCCATGGAGGCGGATCTACAGCAGATGCAGGCGAAGGAAGCTACAGGGCGATTCAAGCAACAACGGTTAGCGGCGGAGGCGACGGACACAACAACGGTTGCGGTAAGTGCTCCACAGGAACGGAGACATAGGGTTAAACAAACCACATGGGGGGATTTGCAAAAGCTATACGTGCGTTGGCGCCCGGTTGGGGTAGAGTGAACCTGAATAGTGTTTAGGTACCTAAACATCCGTTTTGCAAGTTTAGGGACCGGAATGACACACAGCGCAAGTTTAAGGACCGCCAGTGGACTTTACTCAATAATAAATTCATAGATAAACAACACGTAAATATATCAATCAATCTCACTTATATAGAGTTCACTAGGATAATATACAGTACGTCACAAGACACGATACATCGTAAATTCATAATTTGGTCATTCATGCTCATACAAATAACACAAAACAACTTACACAAAAAAACTAAAGTAACAAGTTAATAGTTCACACAATCACTTTATTTAGCCATCCATAAAAAATATCATCTTTATATTTTGACATGATCTGCATATGCTACAATTTACATGTTAATTGAGCTAGTCAACATAATATATAAATGACATAGGTGACATATTCATATACATCTCAAATATACGGGTGGTGTCGGGTACCCGTGGGTAAAATTTGTTTCTCACACCCTACCGCATCTTTGTGGGTACCCGACTTTTATGTAACTGCAGGTAAATTTTCATGCCCGTGCCCATACCCATCGGATACGAAACCCGTAGATATCCGCACTACAGACATACACTACCCCGTGTTGCATTTGTGTATTTTTAAGGCAAATTGCTTTAAAAACAAATACAAAAAAGAAATAAAATCACCAATCAAATACCTTTGATGCTCGCTCGGAAACAATCAACCAATAGTCGGGAGTCAAAAAAAAACCCTCAGGATTCAGGAATCCTGCTATTTCTGGGGAAAAAAAAAGGAAAGACAGTTCTTTCTTTGTACAGGGTCCTTTGTCAATCTCATTACTGACAAGTGTCAAGTAGATCTTTCCGTCACCATTTTATATTTCTGTTTATTCTCTTTTACCAGTTGTCTGAAGTACTTCAACATGCACTCTCCGGCATTGCATTATTTTTTATTAAAAAACTTCTTGCCATCCTTTTTTTCCTCAACCGTGCATTGGCACGTTCAATCCTGCTATTTTGAGGTCCGTTTGAAACGGAGAAATTTTTCCTGTTCCTGCATTTTTCCTATGAAATTAAACTAATTTTTATAAAATTCTTGCACCACCTATGAAATTTCTGCAATCTAAACAGATCCTCATGTGTTTCTTTCCGAAAGACAACTAGGTTGCAGACTTGCAGTCGATAAACAAGAAAAAAAGGACGAGAAAAACAAAGCTGACGAAATGGAGTCAACTGTCAAGGAAACCTTCCTGCCTTTTCTTTCTGTTTGAGGTACGAAACCTTCCTAGCTTCCTCTTCGTGTGCACGGAAGTGACCAGAGGAAGCAACCTCTGGAACGCAAGAAACAGCATTCGAGCGGCCTGAACTTGTAAACTATCACCTGAGATTCCTTTCTTCCCTCGAAATGGCAAAGGCAGGTATCAATTCTTATTTGCCATCTAGGAGAAAAAACTTGCATCATAAGAGGCGACCCATCTTAAGCTTCAGCAGCGGATCGGAGAACTCACCAGCCCAATCGAGCTAGGATCGCATAGACGCGAGAGAGCAGGACTGAAGCATTTGCTGATTTGTTCCATCAAGGTACGTCAAGTTTGACTCACTTATTTCCCCTTGCTTTAAAGCTATTTTCCTACAAAACGACACCTCGACAAAATGGCATACTGAAGTTAGCAGTAGATTTTACGTACAATGTTATTAGGCCCATAAACCGAACAAAGCTGATAATCACCTATCATGTCATTCCAGCAGATCAAACATGCAAGGGATCACGAAGGCGCTGCGCCTCCATGGAAGGCAGCTTAGGCACGCAGTTCTGCAACATATGAACAAGGGGATCTTCTCCTGGGCCACCCTTATTTCGCGCATACAGAGCGAGTCGCCAACTGTGATTATACCACACATGGGGCTCGAGAACATTACCGTCAGTGAAATTCTCAAGGCAAAGGGGGAGGCTGAAGCTGGAGCAGTCTACTGGTGCAGCACCAGCCATTTCGTACATGAAGCAGTACAGCACGTAAGCATTACTGTTTTTTTTTTTTTGGAGAACAACAGCGGATTTACCTTTCCCTCCCTATAATTACGTTAAAAAAAACTTTCCCCCTATAATAGTAATTTTACAGCCGAGTGACCAAACTCTGGTTAAAACTGTAGATGACAGCACACAATGTTGGAGCTCTGGTAGTCCTCAAGTCAGGGGACATGAACCAGCTTGCAGGAATTGTAACCGAGAGAGGTAAGCTAAGATCAGCTGTTGATATAAGCATTGATTATTACTGTATTTCTGAATTAGGTTGTTGATATAACCAACTGTCATCTACATGATCTGATCCTGTATCCTATTATAACTAATTAGGTTGTTGATATAAGCATTAATTATTATTTCTGAATCATCTTTTGATAGGAGCTGAACATCAAACTGGTCTTTCCTTGAAAGTAAATAAAAAAATAACTGAAATGTGGTATCAGGAGAAGAAATGTTGACGGCTACAATAAGCTACCTTAATTGAAACATACCGCTTAAATAAGGCGTGTCCGGTATAATAGGAAAACATTGAATTTTCTTATGCACCTGCATCCTAAAATTTAAGTTTTAGTAAAAAAAATTTAAAGTTTGACCAATATCATAGAGAAAAGTATTGACATCTACCACATCGAAAAGGTAAATATTATGATATATATTTCATAATGGGCACAATGATGTTTATTTGATAATGTAAATATTATTATTGTGCTTTGCTCTAAATTTTGTCAAACTTATAAATGTTTGACTTATAATATAAACTTAGAATTCCTTACATTTGAGGATGGAGGAAATATGCAGTAAGCAAAAACTCCTTAACTAACCAACATCAATCTAATAACCATATAAACAGCAGAAAGGATTTAGAACAGTTAAAAGCAAATAATGCATTTGAGTTTTACAGTTGCTCTAACTAATGCTCAAACGAAATACTCCTTCGCTACAGATTTTGCCAGGAAGATCCTCTTGCCAGGGCGACCTTCAGAAGAAACCAGAGTTGGAGATATCATGACAGAGGAGGTGAATAGACTTGTGGAACAAACTCTTAGTCTAATTGAACAATTGTCAGAACATATCTCATAGTCCTCACCATTTTCCTTATTATTGCAGGACAAACTAATTACAGTGTCCAGTCATACCAATATTCTACGTGCGATGGAGGTTATGACAGGTAATGGATCATTCTGCAGCTTGTAAATTTAAACAATTGTGTCATATCTGAAGGTTGCAGGAAACCTCTGAGCTACACATCTTCCATTTTTCTATTAACAGACAAGCATATCAGACATGTTCCTGTTTTCGACGAGAAGGTAGTTGGTATGATATCCATTGGTGATGTTGTTAGAGCGATCGTGGACCAACAGCACCAGGAAGTAAAACAGCTGAAGAAGTATATTAGAGGAGAGTATTATTAGAATAATATGTACTTACATTTGGTGTATAAACATGAATTGTGTGTAATCATTTACTGATATTCAACTAAGATACATATTTTCCTCGACGACATAATCAATGACATACCGCGGGTCTCTTTGGTGCCTCTACCGAGAGCAATTTGTTTCATCTCTAAACCTTTTGCACTCAATATCATGAAACTATTAAATGCTCTTGGCTAGTCTATAAAACTATAAAATGAAATTTTCCATTGAGAGAGGTCTATTCACCAGCATAAACCTCTAAAAATGATGTAGCACTAGAAACCGTGTAAAGGAACTCTCCACTCTCGTCTCATGATTACCAAATAGACAAGTTCATTTATTAGCATTATTGCACCATTTTTTCATAATTTGAATTGTACTTACAGGGGATGATTAGGTTCAAAAATATTGAAGCTTTGAGAAAATGAGCACACATTATTGTTAAAGAAGGCTCTAACTCGGTACCATACTGTCGGTGTTTTGTAAACCGGACTAGTAAATTTATACGATTGTCGCGCTGCTCTAGGAAGACGATGGTAGCATCCAAAAGACATGAGGATTTATACTGGTTCAGGCCGGGGCCCTACGTCCAGTCTCAGAGATGATCGAGTGCGTGTTCCTCGCTTGAATACTCTGAAGTTCTTACAATGGTGGTGCAAGAATGGTGGATGAGGTAGGAGAGCTAGAGCTAGAAGATGAACTGTCTGAAGGGAAGCTTCAGGAGTCCAGAGATGTGAAGAATGAGAGAGAATGAGAAGGTTGGAATGGTGCCCTGGCTGCCCTTATATAGAGTTTGGGCCCAGGGCAGGTACAAATAAGAAGGTTGGAATGGTGCCCTGGCTTGCAAGCTACGCCGTCCTGTGGCGCACATCTAGGCGTGGTTGTCGTCATGGTCTTGTGCCCACGTCGCGGTAAGGTGTGGCGTGGTGCTACTATGCCAGCCGTGGCGGCACTGTAGACACAGTGGTGATTCGCTAGCCGTCCTTCACGACGTGGTCTTCGCCATGGTCTTCGTCATCATCTTCGAGTTTCCTAGGGGCATCTAACAGGGGTTGTTGGCCGTCCCTAGGTTATCGATCACCTGGTTATCTTGACGAGGAGGTGGCCACGACCCCGAGCTCCGGGGTCGTGGCTCCTGCTAGTGTGAATGGCTTCTAAGTCAAGGCCTCCGTCGTGGATCCCATCTCGTAGTGGGTAGAATCGTACATGCGTCTCGTCGGGCCGTATCTGGATGGTGGGCACCGTAACCGGCCATCATCGTTGGGCGGTGTTGTCTTGTCCGAGCTGCGTGGGGTAGGGATGGCGTCTGACCGGACCGAGGTGACCGCTGTCCCCTCGGTCCTTGTGGGGTCAGCGCGGCATGTCCATTCTTGTCAGAGCAAGTGCGCTTGGCTAGGCTCGACCTCTCCTTGTTCCTCCTAGGGGTCGTGACGGTGGAGAGATCATGCGTCTCTTGTGTGTCGTGTGGCTAAGGAAGAAGGGAGGGGTCGTGGTTGACCCTGGCCTTGGCGTCCGGCCTGGTTCCCTTTGCTTAGCTGGGCCTTGATCGTTCGGGCTTTTGCTAGGCTGATGTATCATGGGCCACTCAGCCTGCTAACTAATCGATGCCTTGAGACATACGGGGATCATAACCCCGACAGTAGCCCCCGAGCGCTGAGATTCATGTAGGTCGAGTGCGGGTTCGTAGTCGTGGTTTGTTCGAGCTTTGTCGCTCGATCCCTTGGTGGGCTGGTGAGTTCAATGCAGTAGGTGGCCATTATGCTCCGCTCCGTCAGGATGACCTGACGACGTGGTATGTGACTGCTGAGCCTACCATGTCAGTGTGCTGCATATCGGGGTTCGTGACCTAGGCGGGGCCGAGTGGTCTCGTCGATGCTGTACCGGTCCCGCCTTTGGGAGGGTCTCAATTTCCCTGATCTCACACGGTCATCTGACTTTGGCTGTGACCCCCCGTGGCTCGCCACGCGGCGCGGGGGTCTGAGGCCACTCAGTCTGCCCTTGGGCCTATAAATAGGGGCCTTTCTACCATTTGAGGCACTCATGACTGTGACTAAGAACCATTCTTTGCCTCTTCGAGGGGTTAGGTGCTAAGAGAGTGAGGAAATGAGAGAGGAAAGTCCGAGGAGAACCGTGCGATTCCTGTTATGCATCCTTCTGGGGGTCGCCTGTGGTGGCCGGAGCTAGTGTCGTCCGTTCTAGCAGCTGGTGCTAGAAGGGGACTTGCAAGCTGAGAAGGAAAGGATGGCATGGTTACCGTGTGAGGGGCAGTGCAGCCTTTCTGACATGGCAGCACTTTGGGCTCCCTTTTGCTCCATCTTGGCACCGGAGTGGTTGTCAAGGTGCTTGTTGGAGCTAGGCAGTTCTGTCGCTCTATTCCTCCTCGCGTTCTATTCCCTAGGGGCTGTGACACTGCGGGAGGGCTTGCGAGTTCGTTTTTTGCTTCGTCTCGCTTCTCCTTGCAGCGTCGCTCCCAGAGGGCTTTTCAGTGATCAGTTTTGCATTCCTTGTGTGCGGATCATCCGCACATCGCTTTGTAATCATGAAACATGAATAAAAGATCAAGGAATCCTCCTTCTGGAGTTTATGCGGCTTCTTGTGAAGCCATGGTGATGAGCCCCCAGACCGTTCGGACGGATTCAGGCTCGTTGGTACTGAACCAAGGTTCTTTGAGTAGGTCATCAACCTCTTGCTACGTAGGGTAGCGAGGTTGCGGGGCAACCTTATGCCTTTCCACTCGAGTCCCTTGGTTGAGGTTGATCGTGTACTTGGTCCTTCTTTGTGTACAGCCTAGCCACACTCATCTTGTGATCGGAAGTTCTAGGGAGTTCTCTTTTTGGGGTCTTGCGCCCCTTTGTGTGAAGCTTTGCTGGGCTCTGAGTCAAGGCTTTTCGGAAGGGTCATCGACCTCTCACCGCACGGGATGGTGAGGTCGCCTAGAGCCTTGGGCCTTTCTGCCGGGGAGCCTCGACCGTGATTTGTGAGGCTCTTGATCTTGTGTTTGCTATATGCGGTTTGACCGCACGTGCTTTGTGGTTATGTTATTCGAGTGAGATTTTGTTGACCCCCGAACTGTTTGGTTGGGATTAGATTTGTGAGTCGGGGATGCGAACCTCAGGCGAGTCATTGGCCTCTCGCTGCGTCGGGGCGGCGAGGTCATCGAGTGACCTTGGACCTCTTCTCCTGAGTGTTTGTGAGCTCGAGGATGTAGGTTTCAAGCGAGTCATTGGCCTCTCACCGCGCGGGCAGCAAGGTCATCGAGCGACCTTGGACCTCTCCTCTAGGTGTCTACGAGCTCGAGGATGCAGGCATCGAGTGAGTCATTGGCCTCTCGCCGCACGGGGTGGCAAGGTCGTCGAGCGACCTTGGACCCCTCCTCCCGAGTGTCTGCGAGTAAGTCATGGGCCTCTCACCGCGTGGGCAGTGAGGTCATCGAGCGACCTTGGACCTCTCCTCCTAGGTGTCTACGAGCTTGAGGATGCAGGCTTCGAGTGAGACATTAGCCTCTCGCTGCGTGGGGCGACGAGGTCATTGAGCGACCTTGGACCTCTCCTCTCGGGTGTCTGTGAGCTCGAGGATGCAGGCTTCGAGTGAGTCATTAGCCTCTCACCGCGTGGGGCGGTGAGGTCGTCGAGCAACCTTGGACCTCTCCTCCCGAGTGTTTCAGCCTGACAACCTTCAATGGGCCACACTCGTGTTTTCTGGTCTGTCCGGGTGGCCTCCATTTGAGGACCGACCTCCTAGAACCTGAGTGGTCTTGGCCTCGCGTGATTAGACCATTATCGCATCTTGTGAACTCCAGCATTACTTCATGAGGAAGGCGCTATTGCATGACTTTTATCCGCCTGTTCCGACCATCCCTCTTGAAAAGAGACTCCGGTCCTCGTTGGTGTGCGAGGCTTTGGGAGATGGTTTTAAGTCGTGGTTTTGAGATGTGTGGAGGAGCTGGTCACGTCCTGGTCCTAGCTATTAGGATTGCTTAGGCCTGGCTCTGGCTTCCTCATGTTGTCCTTACTCTGAGGGATCGTACTACCTTGTTGCAGGCATTTTTAGTTTTCGCCCCACGTGGGGAGAGGCTCGTCCACCATAACCACATGGTCGGAGCAGTGCGCCTCATCGGGGTCGATGGGTAATTCTAGTGTGACCCGATATCCTCCCCAATCGACGTGGAGTTTAGCTGTGCCTCATCGAGAGACGTCTCTTAAATCGTTGGCTGTCAAACCCATTGGTCCCCGACCGCCTCCGCAGCGGTCAGAGGGCAAGATGCCTCCCCCCAGAGGGGGTCAACCTAGTCGACTTCAAAGCAGATGACTCAAACATAGGGTGAGATGGTCGTGTGGCTCCGTACCACCGATAAGAGCTGCAGGGGCCCATCTCATCCTGCCCCTATCCCTTTGTGGCCTTGAGCCCATCTAAGGACCGGCCCAAGAGCAAATTTCCTAAGTATGACACGGGGTCATGTTCACGGCGGGTCGCTCTTGCGCACGGATTCAGGGGTGTGTGACCTCCTTGATCGCGTTGCATTGATGGCGCCCACTTCACGAGCAGCGATGCGCCTTCTGAACGAAGGCGCGTAAATCGAAATGATATGAAAAATGAGAACACGTAGGGCCTACCTGGTTTGGTTTATCGCGTGGGAGGCCACCGCTCCGCCTTCTGCCCAGTCACCGCCACTGCTCTATGAGATTATCAAAGTGGTTTGTAATGGTCATGGGCCTAGTTTGCTTGATGAGGTTATCTTTGTGGCCATAAATCCGCTGGGGTGGTGCGCAGTGGGAGGTATCATCCTCTCATCCCCCGCATTGCCTTCTTTTCCCTCCTACTCGCGCGCTTGTAATCGTCCTTCCTAGTGATGGATCACGGGAAGCGCCTTTGTGAGGAGTCACTTGAGGTTGACAGGCCGCTGTCATTTCTTTTGTCTTCCCTATGAGATCAGGGGTAAGTGATTCTGCATTGTTTTTTGAGTTTGACTATGCTCGCGTTAATCGCTCGCATGTTCA